CAAGGCTTGAGCCGTAGATGCTTCTGGCTGCTGGTGCTGCACGGAGGTGCCATGTGCACAAGCAAAAACCTTGTGAGTCTCCAGCAATCGCATGACCAAGCCAACAGATCCTTTGTGCAGCAAGTTTAGCTTGACTATTTTTATCTGAGGCGCCTCTTTGGTGTCAATGGGGACCACCTGAACACCTATGTTTCTGAAGGCCTTGCTAAGGTTGCCTGACCCTGCAAAAAGTTCAATCACCACTAAATCCTGGATAGGCCTAGCCTCCCTCGAGGGAGCACCATCATTGCCTTGCACGCAGTCTGTCATACAACCTGAATGTGCGTGGGGCTCATTCGTTGCTGGAGCTGTGGGACGGCCCGTGAAGACAGGAGGCTTCTGCTCCTTAGTGTTGGGGCGAACCTGCTCGGCTTGATGCAAAGCGGGCCTCTGACTTGAGTGAGCTGTGCTGTCAACCTGGTCTGCAGGATTGGCACCTGCCTCGCAAAAGGAGGAAAACTGTGGGACCTGAGCAGGTGCCTGATTAAAACTGTGGTCCACAGCACGCGTCTGTGCGAAATGTTGATTACTATCCAACTTCGGAGAAGTGTCATGATGACTTCCAAAACTGTGATGCGCTGAACTGGGCTCCTGAGCGCGCTGCGCATAGTGGGACACCTGCATCTGGCATCCCGTCTGGGGTGACGCGCCCTGCCCTACCTCCTACTTGTCACATCCACTGGCTGAGTGCGGGCCATGGCATTTCATACACAAGTGTAGTCCCTTGCGACAGGACGGGCCATGGGGCGTGTCCCATGTCTCCAACTGGCACCCGTGAGGCAGGCTATAATCGAAACATATAGCCTCCCCCTGAAAGTTGGGGTCCAGGCCCTTTAACGCTGCAGGGACGTTGGTTTGAATCTTCGTCCCACCTGCGCCTTTGCCTTTGCCTTTGGTCTTTCCTTTGCCCTTGCCCTTGCCTTTTTCCTGCTTGCCTTTGCCCTTGCCCTCCTGAGTGGCACACCATGGACGCTTCAATGGCAACAACTTTTCAGGCTTGGGGGGAAGGGGCATGGGATGCAAGTGGAACAAAACTTGTGGGCTGTTCTTCAGGCTTTTAATGGCATCGTCAACCGGTGTGGTGCCTAAGGTCCCTGGTTCCTGATTCGCACCCAGAGTTCGCGGTCGGCCCTGAGGAGCTGATCAATGCTCGGGGTTGATCTACTGTACGCCTCATGTTCTTGGAATGAGCACACGCCGGCCATTTCAAGTGCTACCCCTCTCCTGGTGAGAGCCTGAGAGATCCTGAGCTCCGAACTCACATCCACCTTCAAAGGCTGAGGCTTGGTGGCCAACTTGAGTGCTGTGCTCTCCAGACGAAGCAAATGCTCTTCACGCTTGCCTGAAGACACCTCCTGTTCCCTGCTTGCACACTTACTGGGCGCAATGTAAGTGATGCATTGGGCCGCGGCCATTCCTGAGCAGGCGTCAACCAAAGAATGAGCTGGTTCATATGGCCCGGTCAGAGCAAAGCTGCCCAACTTGCTCTGCACTGCATTGAACCTGGAATCCCTTTCCTGCGGTGTGAGCCTTTTAACACCCTCTACACCTGGCGAGCTGATGGCATCTTTCAACTCTGCAACCACGAAGGTTCCCGCCTCAAACACGAGACGTTTTATGGCGCTTTTGCCTGCTTCTGTGAGGACTGGCTTGCACGCGGACAACAGTTCTGAGAGCTTGCCATCATCCACCTGATTTGGACCTGAAGCTACACTAAAAAGTAACTGCCCATACGTGGCAACGCCCCTCTGCTTCAGGTCTTCTACCTGCTCTTGGCTCAAGCCGTATCGCTTGCACCTCTCTGCAAACGTCACCTCAGAATCAGAGATGCCAGACATGTCCTGCACCAAGGCTTAATTGCAAGGCAAACACGGTACAATAACGCATCCTGAGGTCCTGGAGGAAACTGTGATGCTAGAGCCTCACCTGAAGACATCAAACAAGACTGCTTCGCGTAAATGGTGCGCGGCGGCCTGCCAAGCTGAAAGTGACTGTGCCACTGAAGGTGGGGGCGTGTTCGTTTGCCCCTGCCACAAGGCCGGGGTGCTTCACAGACAAGCAAATGCTACCCAACCTCCAGAGGTAACCACGACGGTTGCCCCTGAGAAGGGACCACGTGGTGTAAAACGGCATGCAGCTAGCGCCCAGCCTGAGAAGCCCCAAGGCACGGCTTGACCTGCGCCACGCAGCCTATGTATCAGGCAGCTCACGACTCAAGTCTGGCCTGATCCTGATGGCCAGCTGACCTGCCAGGCACTGCAGGCGCAAGCCCCAGCTTACACATTTTCCAGCCTTTGCTGCAGAAGAGGGGGGGCACCTGCCCAAGCACAGGTAACGACTCCTAAGGAGTGTCGGGCCCCTGCCTGGAAATCCACGACAAGAAGAGAGCTGCCCACCTCAAGGTGCAGCAAGTGCTCTTTTCTTTTAGTGCCGGGCCAAAGGCCTTGACAGCGCAAGCTGCCTGACCTGCACAAGCAGGGCTTCAACAAGAAATCTAGGAACACATGCTGAGGTCGAGGCGTGCTAAGACGGGGGGGGTCCCAGAGACCCGCCAACTCGAGCCAAAGCGCCTGAGAACAAAGCTGGCTCAAGCGAACTCAATGAAGTGCGGTGACAAGTGACTGCTCCTGGCCCAGCATGCAACGTGTTTTGCAACCGAAGCTTGCACATGCCAACTCCTGGGCTCTTACGGCACAGAGTGACTGTCGAACCTGCATGCCATCCTAAGCCCCTAGATGTGCGGTGTCAACCCTGGGTGCTGGCCTGCAGTCCTGGGAGAACCTACTCACACCTGTACAAAACTGCTCTGCAACGAAGACCTAGGGAGCCTACTCGTCCTGATGGCAATCTGGACATTCGTGATTGGTGTGGGAGCCCCTCCCATCAACACTTACTGGACGCGAGCATGCCCAGCCGCAGCGGGCTTGGCACAGCAGCAAGCAATACCCGCTAAGGTCAAAGCGACGTCTCTGCAAAGCTTTAGCCAAGACACGCTGGCGTTTTTCACGCAACCTCGGCAAGGATGACATTCCATGGATCGGCGGCAAGTCACCGGCATGACCTACCCTGGAATAGTAGGCATACGGAAGGCCTTGGAACCAGCCGACGTAATTCCATGCCTCAGCATCTAGATGCTCCAATGCCTCTGGAAGCAACGTCCTCACGTCGATCGGACGCCTCCGAGGTCCACGAGCCTCCATGGGTGTGCCATAGTCATATCCTGGAGTGCCAGGCTGCGAGCCCTGGGCACTAAGCTGAGCACGCGGCTGGCCTTCAGAGCTGAGCTGCACGAAGCGTCCTTTCAGCGACCACGTCCAAGCAACCCAACGTGCCATCCAGCCCATGGATCGCCCTCGCCAGAACCAGAGGCGCCTGTGATCACCTGAGGGGCCAAAGAAGGCGGCTGACCAACAGTATTGCTTTTAGCTGGAGGTGGTTCAAGGGGGGCTCAAGAGTGCCCAAACCAGAAGTAGAACGCGGCAGCGGCTGTTTGGCCGGAGGAGAAGACTGAATGCCCTGAGAGCTGCTGCCTGAAGTGTCCTTACCCTGCACAGTAACAGCTGAAGTGTTTCTTGTGTCCAAAGGCGTAAGCCCACTGTCGACGAGGCCTGAAACACCTGGTTGCTCCTTCCACTGCTTAGCCAGGGTCATGAGCAGCTCTAATCTATCAATCTCCTCCAGCTCTAAGCAAGAAGCTGCCAGAATGACCTGATCGGGATCCTCCCTGACCACACTGCGAAGCAAAGACTGAGTGTGGAGTACTCCAGAGTCCCATGCCATTCTGTCTGCACCTATGCACCACCAAGCCACTTTCAAAAATCTGGTGCTTGATCCAAAATGGCACCAGAAACCACGTTTTAAATGATGTTGTCGCAAGCTAACAAAACTGTGCCATCTCAAGTCCCTGGAACCCTTTTCATATTTACTGAAGACGGGAAGGCGGGCAATTTTTTGTGTTACCTGGCTCCTGCAAGCATGCCTCCTCCAGGAGGAGATTCATCCATCGAGAGCACTGCTCTTCTGAGAAGGCTCGGAAATTGACCTCAGCCGAATATTTTGGCAAATCCACCGCTCAACGCTATGACTGACTATGGCTATTACCAGCTAGGCCTTCCCGGCTGTATCACTGAGGAGAGCTCTCCGGCAAAGCTTCTGCGCTGCTCGTCCTGCATCGTGGGCTTACAAGCATGTTTCACCACGCAATGGACAATAAACTAGCCACCGGAAAGAAGTGAATTCTGCAGCGATGCTTCTTTCACATGCAAAGCCTGCAGGCCACACGTGCAAACTTCTCGAGCTGCTGCCGTAAGATGTACATCGTACATGTTTTGACTTTTGCTACTACTACTGCTGCTACTACTACTACTACTACTACGACGACTACGACGACGACGACGACGACGACGACTACTACTACTACTACTGCTACTGCTACTACGACTACCACTACTACGACTACGACTACTACTACGACTACTACTACTACTACTACTACTACTACTACCACCACTATCACAGGCTGGCCACCGGCACCTGAACCGGATATTGCCACGTCCACGGCTTCGGCGACCTCGGCTTGAAAGAAGAGCCACTAAGCCGCTGCGACTGGCTACGCAGACGCAGCCGACCAGGCAATTGCCAGGACCATGAGCAGTACAAGGCACAGAGGTCTGAACACGTATAGGCTTCTATAGGTGAAAGAGGCCTCCAGCACGATGCTCAGGTGATCTCATTAAGCGCACTCACAAGCTGAAATATCCTGCAACACGTCTCAGCTTGTCCGGCATCACCCACAAGCTGCACTTGCAGCAGCCCCAATCCTTAAGCTTCTCACGCCTCACCGAGAAGCTGCAGGGGAGCCTGAAGAGGAGACGCGCGCCAGCACGCCGGGTTGGGATTTTCGAAATATCAGTGACTCCAGCGCTAGGCAATTCAATTCTTTGGGCAACTCTAGCCAAATTTGCTGAGTCTGATGTAGGGTTGTCCTGACCCATGGCAAGAATGCCTTCACCATCTTTATCGCATCCTGTTAACGAGATTCCAGCGACCATCACAGTGCTCCCGCCCAACCACTACAAATGCAAACTTGACACAGAAGCTTTGGCATTCGGAATCCTGGCACAGACACCTAGTATATGTTCTCGTCCTAGTTGGACAGTGGACGGCCATCCTACTCGTCCGTACCACATAGACCTACCGAGACGATTGCTTCTGACAATCTGCCAGGCACCTCAACCCTGGAGTTTTCGTGGAAGTTTCGGGACCTCGGCAGAACTTGCAGCATAAGGACGCTTCCAAGAGAAGAATATTCAATGCATTATATGCTGCCAGTTGCGAAAACTTCGGCACACAAATGATCGGATCAGCATTTCCCTGGACCTGCTTGTTTCAGATCATGCTGTTCACGCTGATGATCAAAACAGATTAGGTGATACCTCTCATGCAAGGCTTGGCATCTACGCCGGGCTCTGCAACATAACACATCCACTTGCTGGCATACCAAGTTAACTGCAGCTTCGATAAGGATATCTGCCAACGTGGGCCACCAAGCCCATCAGCCCAACCTCTGAGTTGCTCACCGGGACTTCAGAAACCTTCCCACCGGACCTTCGACTGGGATCCGGAATCTATCTTACAAGGTGTGACAAACTCCTAAGATCGCGAAGCCTGAGGGGCCGAATAAGGTTGCAGAGCTGCATTGTGAAGATGAATTGCTTTGTTGGTTAGATGGTCAACCTTTCAGCGCGATTGCATTCAGAGCTTGCAACGGTGTCAGGCCTTTTGGATCCAAACGGTTCGCGATCACATCTGCTCGCTCGCCTCCTTGGTTCTTCTGGTCCTCACGAGCGGGGGTTCTACCCCGGCCATGTAGAAAGTTCGATGCCCTCTTAAAGAAGGACGGCAGGTTCAGGTACCGTACTAGCTCGGGTGGGGTGCCCTAGTCATGCGGCATCATCGGCAGTCCACCACTTGCCAGCCCTTCTGGAGCAGCATCGACAAGACCTGCGCACAAAAAATAAAGGCAGCGGGGCATAACGCATCACTCCCGAAAAAAAAAAAAAAATGACGCACATGTTTTCATGGGAAAATCGCGGGTTTCGGCTGAAAGCAAAGGTCCAAAGCTAAGGAGGCTCGGTGCTATGCCAAGCAGTAAGGCTATGGCTTACTGGTGGTCAGCAGGGAATGCAGGAATAGATCTTGTGGTTTGCGTTTTGTGTTGATTGCGTCTTGCCCTACTTACTGACCACCAGCACGACAAGGATGTTATCCTTCTGCAATTCGAGGAAAAGGCGCAGCGCTGCAGCCTTCAGAGGTGAAGGTAAAGATTCCCGGCGGGCTGTGCCCCTGCCACAGCTACACGCCCCACCCCTTTTTGAATGCATTTTCGCAATATACTGCATTTTTAGGTTTGGGAAATATTCAATATTTGCTGGGGTGGGGGTTTTATCATTAAAGGAAATGATGAGGGCGTAGGCAGAGTACACACCCCCAAAGTCCATTGTTGTACGGTTCCTTGCTCAGGAATCTGAAACTGAACCCACCTCAGCCACGAGGTGGCTCCCACAACATCCGGTCCGCCACAATCTGACCAGCACTACAACTGCCCTCACATGTCTGGTGGCTCCCGTTCCGGTCGAATTATGATGTCGACGTCATCAAGGTCTTCAGAATCTCCCAGCAGAAAGGTGTCCTAGTTCATTTCATGCGTATGTTGCGCGTGCCAAAGTACAGCATTCCGAGAAGAACTACATCCGCAGGATTCGCCCAAATTCCCTCTCAGCCTTCCTTACTCCAAAAGGAATCGTGAATCCATCGGCATGATCTTTTTGGGCAGTCCTCCGTCTCCTCTCCATGTGGATTTTCAGGCCGCGGTTTCTGTCTGTGGCTGGTAAAGACATCGTCCAGAACATACCTCACGTTGCTAGCGCTTTTGTGAAGGACTTGCTTTGGAGGTGTGTCCGCTAGAATCGCTAGAAGCAGGCACAAACAGAACGAGGGAGCTGCACAACTCGATCATCCAGTGGAACGGACTCCGCGTCTTCCTTGCAACATGCACAACCTCAAGAATTTCGGGGATCGCGTTAGGCAGCGGTCTTTTTTCAAAAGTTGCGACGGCTGCGCTTGCATGGCCAATGCAGCCAAGTTCTGGATTGTCCAACGGCAGCCACCTCTGGGATGACTGTACTGTACACTGTACACTCCGAGCCACAAAAGATGGAGCTTCCAATTTTGGAAGTCAAACGTTGGCAGTCAAAGGTTCCCGAATAAACTCTTTGAAGACTAGGTCGCCCTCCTCGACAGGGCGCATCCAAGCAGGACGCCGAGTCCGCAGGCTGTGACTCCCAGCGCAGAAAGCAAAGCGGCATCCCATCCATCCTCACTCCACGCAGGCTTCAACAAACATATCTTGTCTACAATAGTCTCCACCTTCATGGTCTAGCTACTCAAAGGAAGCCCACAAGCATGGGGAGATGTATTCAGACCCTGAAAACTAGGTCTGGAATCCAAGGGCCTGGGTACTTGGGCGTCGAATGTCAGAACCTGACATGTCAGACCCTCTTTAGGCTGAGACGCCACTCTGGCTTACACAGTCGCAGTCTGAAAAGGCCCTGTGTAGCAGTGTGACTAAGCCCTCACAGTATGCCAGGTAAAGCTGATCCCTGCCATACACTCTACAAGCCATTCCCTGAATTTCTTGACATGTTTGCACCCCTCCAGCAGCCCGCTCTGAGCAAGTCAGAGCGCTCTCTCAGGATGAGAGAATGCAAGGCGGGGCTTTTGCTTGCGTGTTCCCCTGACTGTGCCCTTCACTGCTGTGTCACATTCCCGGGAACCATGAACCGTCCAGAATCCTGTCAGCAGATCTACACTGTTTAGCAGCTATATACATGTTAGCATGTAATAATTAGGCCAAACAATGCGATCTGCTCACTGGATGCTGGTCTGTTCATTATTCTGCAGAGTGGAAGACAGCAGTGAAAGGAACAGTGAGGGAACTCTCGCAGTCTCTCATTCATGCCTAGTAAGACATCAGGGTCATGGCTTGCAGAGTGGTGAGGGCTTGTTTCATCCTGCACGACACGTCATGACAGTGACTGCGTGAGCCGGCCTTGCCTTACAGGGTCTGGCATTGAACTTGCATCTTAACAGCATGCTGAGTGCTTTAGATTCAGACCCCACAGAAAAGTACGGTCGCACGTGGCAAGTGTTCAGGCACACTGAGTCGTGATCTTAGAGGTCTCGTGGCTTCACCTTCCAGAAAACAGCCCAGGTTCGAGACGGGCATTCCGAAGCTGGCCGCCTGACCGGAACTTGGGGTAGCCCGTGACGTTCAAGGGAGGGGTGGCCTTCGAGTCGTGGTTGTTTTCGGGTGGCCCGTAGACTCGTGTAATGGGAATAACGCCAGCCCAGATGTGCGCCAACTGCTCAACGTCCTCCTTGTCATCGTTGGCCCCCTCTGCACGGATCTTGGCACTCACCTGACTTTTGAGCGGAAGTGGACACATGCTACAAGCATGGGGGTGGCATTTGCAAGAAGTACCTATGCTCGAAAGGCGCCTTGCCGTCCTCCAACTTGAGTTTGAGCACCCGAGTTGAGTCCACTTCCGCCTTTGTCATGGGCCTCGTTTGTTTTGTCCGATTTTCGCACATGTGGTTCGTGATGATTTCAAGCCCGTGACGCTTCTCGGAATCCTCACTTGAAGGTATCTCTGTGGCCTCACCATGCACAATGACGCAGCGGTAGTTCATGCTGGAGTGCATGTCAGCCCTGGCCAGCACCAGGCCGTCTTCCAAGGTGACGCAGAAACACACATTGACGGAACCGTTTCGTAGCACACCGGCGCTGACATGGCCGTGGAGGTATAATGTCTCGCCCTCCCTTCCAAAAATCATGGGGCTCACCTTCGCCAGACCTTCAGCATCAACGTAGCCCACATGCGCCACCAGTGCCGAGTCGAGGATCTCGTTCACCACTCCTTTGTCATAGCTTCCCCGCTTCGCGGAGCGCCGGAGTTTGGTCAGCTGGCTCTGCTCGTAAGACATGGGCACCACAGGGACCGGGCTTTTCTGAGGACTCTTGAGTCTTGTATAATGGCAGCAGTGCATTGCAGGATCAAGTGGTTGGGCAGGACCCTGTGCCTAATCGCTTCCTAGCTTCTAACTCTGCAAGCTACAACATCCCTCTGGTCTAGGCAGCACTTGTCTGCCTCACTGCTGCCAAGAGTCATCGGCGACAAAGTTGCGTTCACCCTCCTGCAATATCACAGACGGCACCTAAAGTTGAGGATAGTTGCGGTGACCATTCCTTGCACACCCCACGCTCTCTGTTGGCTGGGTCCTCCCAAGTACACAGCGGCTGCAAGATCTTCCGCTTCTGCTTGACCTACCAAGGGAGGGTGATGGACTTTGGGAGTTCTAACCATTTTGCTTTTAGCCACCAGCACTCAACACCCTTCAACCCTTCAATCACACAGCAGGCGAGTCTGAGCTCCCTTCTTTTTGGCGGTAAGACGCATATGTATCAAAAGATGTCCACATGTACATGTGTTTGAGCTGCTGGTGGCTATAGCACTTCAAGCAAAGATGAAGACATGCGGTGCTAAGCAACAAAATGCTAAAACAGTTTGAGCAAGCACAAAGACATACGGCCAGCCTAACTGCCTCACCAAATTGAACATGCTCACGACATGAAACAGGTGTTTAAACTTGCTGAACTTGCGTACATCTCATGTTGCAAAGGATCCTCAGAGGTTCCTCGTGATCTCAACTGCCGAACATGGGTTCTAATTCTAGCCGCAGGATTGGAAATCCCGCGTCGCCTCCCCGCATCGCCTCAACCTTAACACCTTGAATCCTGTGTCCTGCTGTCAGACCGGTGCAGACTGAAGTCGCCTCAACGACTGCAAGCCCCAGTCGCTCTGCTGAAGACCTGTTGCCAACTTTACGAAGCACGGGCTCAAGTTGGAGCAGGCGCGCAGGCACTCAAACTATCCTCCTGGTTGATTGCGAGTGGAGCGACTCTGGCGAATCGCTCCACCACATGCCAGTGCCAAGCATTGGCTGGCTCACTGCAGGGATCGTTTAGAACATGTTCATAGAAAACGAAGCATCATTACGAGCATATCTCCTTGAATCACTAGGGGACCTATGAGCAAAGTGGCACCCTAGGAAGCGTTTAGCTCGTTGAATCTTCCTAAACATGTCACAATCACTGCCATGTGTAATGTGAAGAGAAGACAGCAAGCATCCTTCATCCCCGCAAGCAGCAGCAAAAGTCAGGAAGGTTCACGAAGTTTCCTTGCTTCAATGTTGTGTTTTGCGAAGATAAACGACTTACCCATTGTAACCAGGATCCATTCCAGGAGCCCTGGCCCACACTGTATTGTAGGGAGAAGACCCCACATCGAGAACTAACTGAAGCCAAGACACAAGCGGTATTTGACCACCCAGCCCTCCAGGAGGTCCTCGGGCGAGATCTCCGAGTTCCCAGAGCGGCGCTGTATTCCTTCGGAGATGCAATGCTCAGATTGGATTTAAACACAAAATTATGCAACCATTGCAACCCTCACCACTGGTACAGCGGGCATGAATCTCAGTTTTACCATGTAGGCGCAAGGGATTGAGTGATTCTAGCGCGTGTCTGTGACTTGGATGTTCGGCTGGCGATGAATACATTGAAGTTGGGAAGTCTGAACAGTAGACAGGGTGCAATAGCTCACGGCAATGCGGCTGTAGAAGAAGTGTAGCATTCTTTGTTCACTTGTTTGAACAACGAGCCCATACCTTCGAGACACCCTGATGCGTAGTTTCCCACATATGGTTCCAAAACGAGATTCTGTGAATACAGAACTCCAAACATGCGGAGGGGCATCCGCAAGTAGTTGAAACATGTATTGGAAGTCCTCGCATAAGGAATCCCAACAAACGAACCGTGTTTGGCTGACAGAAACTTTCCTATGTGGGAGTTTGCCTACAAGAGATGTTTTTCCCCAAGGTGTATGGGACCCCTGCTACAGGAGGAACCGAAATGCGGCGCCCCCTATAAACCAAATTCGAGGAAGAACCCCCTGAACATAACTCTTCAACCCCATACTACATCAAGGAACTTATATAATGGGCCCCCCATGCTCTTTTCCGTTTGATTCTCCGTTCTTATGAGAATAGCTGAATAGTAACCCTCCCATGTAATGCAAACAACAAAATACGATAATCTTTATGCTGGGCAAGGCGCGGGAGCTTGAAGATGCCAAGAAGCGGCCGTGGGAGTGTGCCGCGCAGGTTAAAGTCGCTGAGGCCAAGCCTTTGCACCGAGGTCGAGGGACCATGCTTTAGGGCTAGGGGCTGTAGGGGTTTGAGGGCTTCTTTTTCAGGTTTTGAGGTCTTACTATTTAGGCTGTTGAAAAAAGTCTAAGCTGCAATACGAATGCGGTTCCAGGGATGTGGGCGGATGATGCAAAGACTGTAGGGCCCCACTTGGGATGTTATACGGCTGATTTGCGGATGTTACAGTGCGATTCTCTAGGGATGATGGCTTTTCTTTGGGGATCTGATACAGATCCGGTTTTGGGGAATGTACAGAGATATTATGCGGATGTTATAAGAACTACATCGAGAGCACATGGGGGCTATACCGTATACTGTATACTGGTATTACGCGGGGGCTTAACCTACCTTGACATGACACGGGAGCCCACCGTGGATCCATTTAAGAACACCTTTACAAAAGTTTCGTGTTGGCTTGGAGGGTGGAGTTTGCAGCTTCAGGTTTGAGGGTTTGGGCTTCCAGGCCAGGGCTTCAGGTGGAGGAGTGAGGGCCATGGTAGGTGGTTCAGGCAATCTACTCAACTACAAGGAGCGAAGCCTCTGCCAACAGATCTAGTCCAAATGGATCGTTCCCAAAATTGAACCCTCAACAGAACTGGGCCTCAGAATTGCAGTCCGCAGATGAAACCATGCCAACCCCTGCGACAAGAAGCTGCGACAGAAGCAAAGATGTTTCTTACCCTCCGTTCAATAAAATACTACTCACATCCCATTATACTATGGTAGCTTCCCATTTCTTTTCCATTATCC